GAGAGAGAGAGAGAGAGAGAGAGAGAGAGAGAGAGAGAGAGAGAGAGAGACAGAGAGAGAGAGTTATTCACTAATATTCCATGCTCCCAAAGAATGAGTAGCTGATCTTCAAAAGTGCCTTCATTTTATCTACAAAAATGTTCATGTACATCTCTCTTCATGTACCACTCTTTTAGTGATAACCATTCACCAGCCTTTTGGTTTTTTTGATCACCATCCCACCCATTTGAAAGAGGTGAGGGAGTTACTTTAACTCTTAAAATTGTGTCAGTGGAGTAGAACACTTTCAAAGCCAAAAACATAATTTAGATAGGTCAGGGAAAATGTATCACAAAATCAATCAAATGATATAGACTATCATTGACAGAGAACCAAGAGGCAAGAAAGCCAATTAAGAAACTAAAAAATCATTGAGTAAGAAGCAACACCTAACGCCATTGAAAACGTAATCAAAGAAGAAAGACTAAACACCTTTAAGAAATGAACATTTCCGCCAATTAATGGTAAGAAATAATAACATGATTCAACAAAATCAGATGCAAATTAGTTTATGATATAAACCCTAATCCATACTACAGATCTGACTCAAATACATGGAGAGAGAGAGAGTACCTTTAGAGATCTTAGCGAGCAGAGGCAATGGAGCGAGAGGCAGAGAGCGCGAACGCAGGGTTTGAGCAGGGGAAGACGAGGTGTTTGAGCAGCGAGCAGGGAAGACGAGGGTTTGAGCGCGAGGGAGGCAAGAGAGAGCAGCGAGCAGGGAAGCCGAGGTTTTGAGTGCGAGCGAGGGAAGCCGAGGGGTTTGAGCACAAGCGAGGCAAGAGAGAGCAGTGAGCAGAGAAGACGAGGGGTTTAAACGCGAGCGAGGGAAGAGAGAGTAGCGAGCGAGGGTTTGAGCAGGGGAAACTCAAACACAGGGATGAGGAGCGAGGGAGGGAGAGAGAGGGAGAGAAAACGTAATAAGAGGGAAGAGAGAGAGAGAATAGGCTGTTTGAGTAGGAGTCAGCTGTGTCGATGTGTAGGTTTTCGGGAGTTTAAATGTGCCAGGTACACATTAAAAAATGGACTTTTTGATCGCAAACTCTGAAATTTTCGATCATAGCCGTTGGCGTACCTGAACGGGAATGCGCGAGTGGGCTGATCCGATTTTTTTTTAGATATATATATATATAATCTAAACTTCAGCATCTTTCAATTTACAAAAGTTGAAGATAGATAGAGTTGCGAAAGGTGAATTCATTTATTTTGTAGTCTATTTTAAAAAAAATATTACTTTTGTGTGGTAATTTTGTAATTATTACTCCAAGACAAAATGTATTTTTGTCATCTCCATAAGAGATAAAGTTGAAATTTTAACTAAAAGATAATAGCACTTTATAAATAAAGTTTCAAGACACTAACTTTCAAAGTGTCATTGTACTTTTGTGAAAATTTCAAATTTACTCATGCTTGATGGTAAAATTACATATTTAAATAATTTTTTAATAAAAAATGATAATTGTTTTGATAAATACACCAATCACAACCCCTTCTTTTATATTTTGAAGGGTTGTTAACTCTAGACAAACCCATATATATATATATATGACAAAGCCCATAATGAAAGAATAATCCTAGAATGATTTAGAAAAGCTTCAAATCAAGTCAAACATCCAATATATAGAGTTAACACTCCTAGTTCTTCTCAAACTAAACCAGAAAAGCCAACCCTATCAGAATTTGACTTTGATCTACTTACAATCCAGAGTCAAGACGAGTTTGTCATTGATAAAAAAATAGATTAAAAGAGAGCCCTTTCAGAAGAAACTTGACAAATAAGGGAATGGTTTTTCCAATAATTTACAAAAGAATTAAGGGATGCTTTTCATAAAAAGTTTAATAAATTTATGATACAACATAGAAGGAATGTGAAATTCTTCAAATGATTTAAGTATATCCTCAAAAAATAAGAGATTAAGCTTTTGAGTTTAGAAAAACTCCTATCCTCAAGTGTATTTTGGGGGATTAAGCTTCAAAAGTAGCTTCTCAATTAAAACTATTGAGAAAACTATTTCTGTCATGGAAACTCGAGATAGTTTCCAACTCTTATCCTTAAGAATGGTTGAAGAGCATAAAAGAAAATATTTTAACTATCTGCATATGGGCCTAATCCAAATAGTTGTTAAACCCTTAACTAGGATAGGGTTAAACAAATATGTTTTGCTTTGCTTAAGGGATAACAGACATAGAAGGTTCACCGATTCTTTATTAGGAATCATCAAATCAAGTCTTTGCAATGGTCCTATATATTTTAATTGCTTTCCCAATTTTTCGGTGGCCTTAACTGATCCAAATCTTTTGAAGGTTTTAACTCTAAATCTAAAAACTCAAAGTTTTGATATGGATCTTGGATCTCAAAACTTAGTTTTTGTTTATAAAATTTGTTATAAAGTTATGAACACTCTATGTCCAAATACAAGGCAAATGGATACAAAGGGTCATACCATTTTCTTTCAAACAAATATGGATAAATCTAATATGGTTACACATAAGTATGTATCTTGGACATATGTTAAATTACCGGAAAGATGGTCTCTTCAGTCTGAAAATCAGACTAAGATTCCTGAGAATAAAGAGCCTGAACAAATAATTGAATACCCAGATGGAGAAATTGAAATACAATTTCCATCGTTTAGAAAAACTAGACTAAGTATTTCCAATACACTTCCTAAAACAAGAACTTCAACCTCCTTTATTCCTCAATCAGATTATGAAAAAACCCATAATGAAAGAATAATCCTAGAAGGACTTAGAAATGCTTCAAATAAAGTCCAACATCCAATATATAGAGTTAACACTCCTAGTTCTTCTCAAACTGAACCAGAAGAGTCAACCCTATCAGAATTTGACTTTGATCTACTTACAATCCAGAGTCAAGACGAGGTTGTCATTGATAAAGAATAGATTTAAAGAGATTTCCTTTCAAAAAAAAATAGACAAATAAGGGAATGATTTTTCCAAAAATTTACAGAAGAATTGAGGGATGTTTTTCATAAAAAGTTTAATAAATTTATGATACAACATAGAAGAAATGTGAAATTCTTCAAATGACTTAAGTATATCCTCAAAAAAGAATGGATTAAGCTTCCAAAGTTTAAAATAAATATGGCCGAAGAGGCCTTTCAGACCTTTCACACTATCAAATGTGAAACTATCGAATCTATCCATCTCCCAGAAACGAGTTTACAATTAAAAGGAGAGAAGCTTGAAACTAAAGCTTCTCCCTTTAAGTTGGGGCCTAATGAATCTGAAAATCACATGGCCAAATTGAAAAGAATACCACACATCATAAAACAGAATAATTACAAAAATCTCTTCCTACAAACTATAGGAAAACAAACCACTAGAATTGAAACTGTCTTGAATAATTTGAAATCTGTACAGCAAGAAAAGAAAGAAGAAAATCAAAAGGAAGCATTGTTATTCAAACCACCATCAAGTATAGAAGCAGGAAAATTCAGGCTACAAGGAATAAAGAAAAAAGAAGATAATAAAGAATTTGTTAATGAGTTAGTCAAAAGACTTGCAAAACTAAATATTAATGAGAATAGAAAACCTTTCATCGGTGAGCTACAAGTCCTACAAAAAGATCAGAATTATTCAAACCATGAAATTTTTGAGATAGAAAATGCTTTTAAAACAGAAAGCTTCGATCTTAACAGAATTGATTATGGTAGGAAAACTAGGCTAGTTGTCCAAACTAGAATGTATTACCCTCGACCCACTCCTATTGATCTCCAGATAGAAGAATATCTTATTTCTAGTTCGGTGTCCTATTCAGGAAGGTCAATTGTAAATTGGAATATAGATGGCATGTCTGAAAATCAGATCCTTGATCTTATGAAACACGTAACAATGTATGTCACCGCTTGTAAAGCAAGTGGAAACAAAGACCATGAAATTGCCAAAGCTGTCATATGTAGCTTTACATGATGGCTTAGAGGATGGTGAGATTTTCATATGGATGAGATTGCAAATGATAAAATCTTAAATGCTACTAAACAATGGATTATTAAAACTGAAGTAGACCCTAGACAAGTCTAAGAAAATATAGTTGACAAAGGTGATGCAATCAATACGCTAATCTACACTATCACCCTTCACTTTGTTGGTAGTCGCTAGATCAGAAGATCTGCTTTTAAATTTACGTTGCCCAACACTTTCTCATTTTAAACGGTATAAAGATGTTTTCTACTCTAGATTATTATCTAGGGAAGATAGTAAGGCAAATGATTGGAAAGAAAAAGTCATAGCTAGACTTCCCCATCTTTTTGCTGAAAAGGTTAAAACACGGTTGAAATATAAACATGGAGCAATTATTCCCTATTCCCTTTATACCCTTGGAGAATTATCAGCGAAAATCTGCGCTGAAGGCCTTGCTTTGTGCATAGACCTGAAACTCCGAAGACAATTAAAAAAACAAAGAATGATAGGGAAAAAAGAACAAGGAGACTTTTGTGAACAGTTTGGGTATAATACTTTACCCTCTTCTAAACCCTCTCACAAAGGAAAATACAAGAATTTACAAAAGTCAAAATTTAAACATTCACATGGCATAAAACAAACATTTCCTAAAAGATTTATGCAAGATCACACTTTCAAACAAAAGGGAAAAAGAAAGATACATGTTTGTTATAACTGCGAAAATGTAGGTCATTATAAAAATAAATGCAGAGTTAAAAAGAAAATCAATGCACTGAAAATCGACGAAGATGTCAAAAAACAATTATTTGATATTCTTTTAGTGAATAGAGATGATTCTGATAGTTCTTCTAACTTTGACTCTGATTCAGATGATGATGATAATCCTGGAAAAGCCTGCCAATGTAATTTTTATAAGGCTATCATTGATATGAATGGTTTAAACCTAAATACTCTTACAAAAAAAAAAGTTTAATTATTGACCTGATTGATAAAATTAGTAACCCATAGGCTAAAAAGAAAGCCTTGGTTCAATAGATCGACATAGCAAAAGATCCATTTAGACCTACTACTCCAAAACCTTCTCTCGTACCAACAAGAGAAGAATACAGTTTCCACGACATCTTAAAAATGGTTCAAAACAAAACTCAAACTATCAAGGAACCTTCAATTCCTGAGTTAAAACATGAGATAAATGAAGTTCGCAATGAATTAATAACCCTAAAAACTAGAATTCAAATCTTGGAAATGGAAACTGCTACTTTTAATAGAAAAGAAGGCAATCATGATGAAAATACTGAAGTAGAATTCAGCAACTTGATGAATGAAAATCACCATAATCTTCTACCACCTGAAGCGAAAGATACACTTCGAAAAGTTCTAGAAAATGATGACCTTGAAACTTCAAACAAATGTAACATGCTAGAAAAAATCAAACTTTAAAACTGTGCATATGTCAACCTTTTAGACAAATTCGTAACTCAACGATGGTTTCCTATCGTTAAAATAGTAGTACAAAAGGAATATAGTTTCCAAACCACTGCTCTTATTGACTCTGGAGTATATCTAAATTGCATAAATGAGTGGTTAGTCCCTACAAAATACTTTAATAAAACTACCCAAGTTTTAAACACCGCTGACAGAAGTAAAATGTTAATGAACTATAAACCATCTGATGCGACAGTTTGCAATAATGGAGCATGTTTTAAATTTCTTTTTATCATGGTAAAAGGATTAAGCCAACCAATTATTCTTTCAACCCATTCCTAAATATGTTTTACCTTATCAAAATTGATGGTACCGTTATTGAGGCTAACATTGAGGGACATGAAGTAAAATTTACCTTCATAGATAAACCTAGAGTTCATGAAATAAATAACATTAAGAATAAAATCTCTACTAAGGAAATTTTCCTTTTTTTATCTAAAAGAAGAGATCAAGTATAAAACCATTGAAGAAAAATTACTATTTTCATAAATACAAAATAAAATTAGTACTTTCAAAACAATTCTTGAAAAAGAAATATGCTCCGATATCCTTAACGCTTTTTGAAATAGAAACAACATATAGTTGAACTTCCTTATGATCCAGGCTTTGATGAGCGA